AGCTAGGGCCCTCGGGAATAACGTCGTCCACAGGAGTCCTGCCACAGAGGGGACCAGAATGGCCCGAGGCCTCCAGGTGCTGTGGGCCCCGAAGCAAGCATGGAAATAGGACTGGCTTTGTCATGTGTGCTCAGCACCCCACCCCCAAGTCGCCCGCTGGACTGGGAGCTGTCTTGGGAGCCTCTCTGGGGCTCAGGACTCGCTGGCTCTTCCGGCCTCCGAGGGAAGCCCCTCGCCTCTGCCCCAGCGTGGATGTGACACCAAACCGGCTCCTGGCTGCAGCAAACCCCCACAGCTCGCTGGAGGACAAGGACCCGCCGCCACTCACTGAGCTTTCCCCACACGACAGGCACAGTGCCAGGCACAGAGTAGGCAACAAGGAACAGGAAAGGCAGCTCTTTATTCAACAAATATTTCTGGGGCACCCACTAAGTTCCAGCCACTGTCCTAGGTATGGCAATCTGTACAGGGTGATGAAGGCGGCCAATTCCTCACCCTCGTGAGGCTTAGAGCCCAGCAGTAAACAAATATTAATAAGTACACAATGTGTTGTCAGACCGTGATAAGCCATATCACAAAAAATAAGCGAGATGAGAGAGCAGAGAGCGACGAGAGTGCTGGGGGTCGAGAGGGTCTGCAGAGCCTCGGCGAAGTGAGGGGGTGAGCGTGTGAGTTTGCAGAATTCCGGGCCCAGGGAACAAGGGGTACCACAGTCCTGAGATATGACATACCTGACACGAGTTTTGAGGTACGGCAAGGAGCCCCCTGTGGCTGGAGTGCCGAGGGGCGGCGATGGCTGTTAGGCTGTGTTGGAGGGTGCTGAGCAGAGCAGAGCGGGGATTTAACCTCCAGGTTAAAGGGACGCTGCGGCTGCTGGGTGGAGGGCGGAAGCCAGGGCGCCAGCGAGGGGGACTGCTGGCCAAGCCCAGGTGAGACCGGTGGAGCCCAGAGCAGGTGGGAGAATGGTCTGGCTAGGAAAGGCACGCGGAGTTTTGCTGAGGGATCAAAATGAGAGAAAAACAGGCACGGAGGCTGACTCCACAGTGAGCCACTGGGAAAAGAAGTTGCTATTTATTCAGATGCGGAAGATGGACCGTGCGTGACAGGGAAACTCACATCAGATGTCAGCTTAGGTGTTCTTGGAGGAAGCCGCTAAAAGCTGTCCTGCTTGCCTTAGTGTGTTAAGCCTTGACCACGTGCTAGCCCCTGTCCTTGGCAACTTACATTAATTGTTGCTGAACAATCCTACAAGCTGAGAACTGTTAACCCCACTCAAGAGACAAGAAAACTGAGGCTTTAAGAGAGTATCTTTTGTCTAAAGTCGCTGAGTTCTGTTCTGAGGCAGAATTGCCATTTTATTTGATCCTCAATTGCCCAGGCGCATGGGTTATTTGAAACTTAACCTTCCTCCACCTCCTTCTTCCAATAAGATTCCGCTTTGTAATACCGTATTCTGACGTAGGAACTTGTTTCTGCTGTTGTGATACATGAGAGGGCAACTCCCAGTGAGTGACATCTGCCTTGCATAACCCTCTCCCCGTGAGTGCAGGCAGAACCTGTGACTTGCTTCAAGCCAACTGAATACGGCAAAGATCATGGGATGTCACTCTCATGGTTATATTGTGCAATGTAAGACTCCATCTTAGCAGACTGGAGAGAGAGAGAGAGAAAGAGAGAGAGAGAGAGAGAGAGAGAGAGAGAGAACGTGAACGATAAGACGCCTGCCGGCCTTGAAGAAGCAAACAGCCATATTGTGAGAGGTCTATAAGAGAGCCACATGGCCACGTGGCAGGGAACAGCAGGCACCTGTAGCACCTCTAGGGCCTCTAGCTGAAAACTAGAATGAAGCTGGGCTCTTGGTTTTATAAACACAAGAAGATGAATTCCGCCAACAACCCGCAGGAGCTATGGAAATAGATCTTTCTGTAGTGGAGCCTCTGATGAGACCACAGCCAGCCTAGTGAGAGGACAGGTGAAGCCAGGCCTCCAGGCTCCTACAGAAACCATGAGATAATTAATGTGCATTGTTTCAAGCTCAAAGTTTGGGGTGATTATTTTATGCAACATAAAACATTTATATGACTCTAAATATTATTTACATGGCTGTCTTTGACACTGGTGTCAGACTCTCAAGAAAAAAGGTCAGTCTCACATTTCTTCTCTGCTAGAGACACCGTCTGTTAGTGGGGTAAATAGATGCTCTCATACTGTGCAACCTCTACGGAGTACAGTAAGTCCTCACTTGATGCCATTGATAGGTTCTTGGAAACTGCTACTTCAAGCAAAATGACATACAGCAGGTCCTACAGTAACGTCATTCCTGTTCAGGGTCATTTTGTTGTAATGTTGATAAGAAAAAAATAATGGTTTTGTTACATGTCATTTTGCTTAAAGTCACACTTTCCAAGAACCTAGCAATGATGTGTAGGACATACTGCACAATTTTGCCATTTCTTCAAATTTTCAAATACACATGTCCTCTCATTAAGCAATTCCACTTTGAGGAATTTATCATGTAAGTTTACTTAAGCATGGCAAATGACAGAAGTTCCAGGTGGTTCTTTGCAGCACGATTTGTGATAGTAAATACTGGAAACAGATCAATTGTGCATCAATAGGGGATTGGTTAGGTGTATTACTGTACCCTGAAAACACTGGAATGCTAGGCAGTTTTTAAAAGGATAAGGAAGATTTTTAGGTACAGATACAGGAAAAAACTCCAAAATATATTTGAAGCAAAAAAGTCAAGGTACAGAACACTGTCTATATCATGCTCCACTCATGTAAAAATAGAAACATAAACCATTCGTCAGAATTTGCCTGCACGCACAAGCAACTGCTAGTGGCGTTCCTTTAGCAAATGGGGAGAATTGTTGACTGGAATAGGAAGGAAACTTTTCACTGTGTACACCTTTCCATACCTTTAAAAGTCTGAACCATGAGAATACATTATCTATTCACAAGAATGAAGAAAATTAAAATAAATACACCACCCACATGAGCTGCTGCTCTAAGGAGACGAAGAGAACAGATACAATAGGAGAACAAGGCAAAACTGCCTCAAATTCAGCCAGGCAGCAGCTTGAATACATTTTGTTAAAAAGCAAAAAATTTTTTCATCCCTTTTAGAAGAAGAAAAAAAGACACCTACAGTCTATAATTATAGCTTTATATTTACTGTCAAATTTAAAGGGAAAAACAAAAACGTCTTTGTCTTCTGCTCTCATAAGCATACAGCAAGAATGACAAACTCAATCGCCCATGAAGCCAGGGCAGGAAATCTAAATGAATGAAATCCTGGTGACAAGAAAGTCATGGGGATTGTGAGGCCGCAAGATCAGGTGCTGTCTGGAGGCAGCCCTGCCCCTGGGTGTTGAGGGCTTTGGATCCTCTGTGACATCACAGCTAATGTGCCAGGCACTGAGTAAAGCCGTTTCTGAGAACTTTGTCAAAGAATTGAGCCAATGATCCCATGAGGGGAAACTATTATTATCCTCATTTTACATATGAAAAGACTGCAGCTCAGAGAGGTCGAGTCACTAGTCCCAAATCACACAGCCCGACTGGTAGAGTCAGTTTGAATGAAAGCCTGCACTCTTCACCATTCTTCCTCACCTTCTTGTACACACTTGAACAGAAGCACGCCCATCCAGGGCCACTTTAGGACCTCCAATAGACCCTCTTATGGAGCTGTAACTCCATCTTATACAATAAAAACATATCAAAATGCACATGCGTTCAATATGATTTCTATGACTGGGTAAGAGCTTGGTTGAGTTGAACTGTAGTTGACTAACAGAATATTACATCTTGAGGACTCTGTAAACATCTTTATCGAGGTATAATTTACATAGCATTATATTCATCCATTTTATGTGTACAGTCTCATGAGTTTTAGTTACGCAGCTGAGCTACCGTCCTCACAATCTGGGTTTAGGATCCTCCCCTCACCCCAAAACGTTCCCTCTGCTCTTTAGCAGCCAATCCCATCTCCCACTCCCAGGCCCAGGCAACCACTGATCTGTTTTAGGTCTCTATAGTTTTGCCTATTCTGGGCGTTTCATGTACGTGGAATCATACCATATGTGACTTTTGTGCCTATATTTTTTCACTTGGTATAACAGCTTTGAGATTCGTTTATGCTGTGCATGTATCAGTAGTTTATTCCTTTTAATTGCTGAACAGTATTCCATTGTAGGGTTGTGCCCCAGTTTGTCTATCCATTCCCTGGTTGATGGACATTCCCAGTTTTTGACTAATATGAATAAAATTGCTACAAACGTTGGGGGTGTCTTCACATTTTAGGATCTGAATGAGCAGGAGTCTTTGCTTCTCTTGAAAAGCTGCGGAGTAGCCGGGATTGCTGGATTACAAGGTTAGTGTGCTTTTAACTTTTTAAGAAATTGCCAAACTATTTTCCAAAGTGGCTGCACCGTTTCACATTCACACCAACAATGTATGAGGGTCATTTAGAGGACTTTTAACTAAACATGTATTAATGTCAATCTCTGTATTTTCTGTTCTTTGGAGCTAACATGTAAACGTATCTAATTTTTCAGGTTTTTCCCATTTCTGTAGGGAGAAAAGTTCATAGTTCGCACTCTACGCCCACCTTTGTGGCCAAAGAGTAAAACATCCCACCAACTACACTCCACAGTTGGGAAGCCCAGGACCCTACAAAGGCCCCGCAAAGATTCACCTCAAGGGGGCGGGGCTGGTGGGCGGGGCCGGAGGAGCGGGGTCTCTAGTCCCGTCCACTCCGCGCTGGACTCCGGCCCCAGAGGGGCGGGGCTAGCGGTGAGCCAAGAGGGTGGGCACACGTTCTCCAGCCCCGCCCACTCCGCGCCGCGCTCGGGCTCCGGCCCCGCCCACCCTGCACGCGGCTGCGGCTCCTGAGGGGCGGGGACGGGGAGGTGCGCGCGGCTCTGGCCCCGCCCACCCCCACCCCACCGCTGGCCTCCGGCTCCCTCTCCGGTCCGCTACGGCAGCCTCAGCGCGCGCCTAGCAGGGCACCATGGCCGGGCTGCTGGCGCTGCTGGGCCCAGCGGGCAGGGTGGGCGCCCGGGTCCGGCCCCGCGCCACCTGGCGCTTGGGCACCGCCGCCCCCCGCCGCGCCCCGCCGCCCCTGACCCTGGCCCTGCTTCGGCCCAGGCCAGACGTCCGGCTGCTGCGCACGGCCCGCGGGAACTGCCGCGGCCACCAGGTAAACTCCCCAGCCCCACCCAGATCCCGGAGCGGGCGCCCGGGCCCCTAGGTGTCCGGAGCGCGTGCCAGGGCGGGCCACCTCCGCCGCAAGGGCAGCTTTGCTCTTGCAGCTGCCGGGAACGAGCACTCCTGGAGTGCCCAAAGCCCCAGATCTCGACAAACCAAGGAAGCGATCCTCCCAGGTGACAGCGGAGAAACTGAGGCTCGTGCAGTTTGGAGCTGTGCCCAAGGTCACAGTCCCCGGCAGAGCCCGGTCTCCGAAGCGGCTGCCGGCCCGTGGTGTAGCCCACAGGACTGGAGGGGGGGCCGCACTCGGCGTGAACTTCCTTGCGTGGCCTTCGTGCTGCTGCCGTTTGAGGGCGAGGTCGGCCTCGCTGGGCGCCCCGTGGCTTGCCCCGCGCCGGCTACTGTCCCCATTTATGTGACTCCAGGAGTGGGCTGCCTCGGGCAAGGCACCCTCATTATCTCTGTGTTGTCTGTTACGGTCCGTTTTGGTTTCCTCCCATGAATACTAAGTGAAAACCGGCTTCCATTCAGAACAGTGATACAAGCTTTACTTTTTAAAAATGTATCAGTTTTTTAAAAGTGGGTCTCTTTAAAGAAAAGTAGTAAGTTCGGAAGTCCGGAAATGCAGGAATGACAAGCCAGGACTCGCTTCCAGCTCGCTTCCAGCTCTGCAGTCTGGAGTCCCTTTGTGTGCCTGGGTGCGGATGGGCCCCTCTGCTCACTGGCCCTGAGACTTCAGACCAAGCACTGAAGGCCTCTGAGCCTGTTTGCTGACCTTTCAGAGAGCTAAAAATAGCACCCTCCCAGTAAGAGTTTGGGGGACAAATCCATGAGTGATGGAGGCCTCATCACAGTGCCACATGCCCAGCTAGCTCTTCCTGAACATTCTGTAGCTTATCAGTAAGTGAGAGACCTCACCAGGCCTCCTGTGCATATGGAGGAACTTCCTTCCTTGCCTTCTCCTCTCCGTCCAACAGGTGGCACGTAGGTCGTGTCTATAAATCCTGAGCCCCGTTTGGGGTCCTCACAAGTTTGGCACCCTCTGCACACACCAGGCTGCCTCCTGGTGATCCTTCAGGGCTCAGCCCAGCTGTCCCTTCCTCCAGGAAGCCTTCCCTGACCACTAGTGAGGCCTTGGTTGCCTCCACTGGACCCCTCTCAATCCCATGGGTGTGGATCTGCCCTGTGCTCATCATCTGGAATGATCTCTTGGCCGGTCTGTTCCGGCAGTCGCATGAGCCGTGGCACGGGCAGGTGCAGGTGTGTACAGTAGTGATGAGTGTGGTCCCAGACTCCCCAGCTTCCTGTCTCTACTTATTACTTCTGTGGCCTTGATCAACTTGTCTCATCTCTCTGTGTTTCAGTTTCCTCATCTGTAAAATGGGATGTTAATAATTGACACTTCATAGGGTGTGTGTGGAAATGAGATAATGTTTGCACCTGGCATCTGGTGCATCCTAAATTAATGTTAGCAATTTTTATAATCGCAGTAAAGATATACAGTCACAGGGCCCAGGGCCCCATGCACTGTCCCTGTTCCTCCTGCTCTCTGATAGATGGGCAGAATGCAGTGGGATCAGCACCTCACAGAAGGGTAGGAGAAAAGACGCTCATCTCCCCGAGAAACACCTCCCCAGCAAGGCTGGGAGCCGGTGGAGGGAGGGTCTAGGCTTTGGCTAGTGGCCAGCACCTCCCTGCCGGCTGTTCCTGGCTGCCCTCATTAAGAGGCAAGAGTGCAGTGCTGCCCAGCTGGGGTCTCCAAATGTGCCAGACAGTTAATCAAGTGCCAGAGAGACACACCCACCTCTGCCTTGAGCAGGGGGGTTTGGGGGGCTGTCTCCCTGTAACCAGGAGGGGGAGGAAAAGCCGCAGAAGAAACCTGCCTTTTTCACTTAACGTGACTCTACGTCCTGTGAACCGGCCGAGCCTCCTGCCTGTGCCACTTACTGTGTGTGGGGTGGGGGGACTTTAAGGCAAATGACATGCTCCCCTGAGCCCCATGTCCTTTCATCTGCATCAGTCCTGGCTCCAGTGCTTCCTTTTCAGAGAGACTTTCCTGAACCTTCCTGGCCTTCTATAAACTTGCAGCATCCCTCCCATTGGTCCTACCTGCCTCCCTCCCCTCCTTGGTGTTTCTCCATGGCACTCATCACAAGTAGCAGCCCTGATATTTTACCTTTCTGTTCATTTTACCTTTATTCGTATTATTCTGTCTATCTGTTTCTCCCACAAGACCGTAGGCTCCTTGAGGGTGGTGTTGTGTCAGTTTGGTTCATTGCTCTGTCCCCTACATTTAGAGCAGTGCCGGGCACAGAGTAGACACTCGTGACTAAGCAAGGAACATAGCAGAGTAGATAAAACCAAAGGCCTTGGAACCAGACTCAGCAAGTGTGGATCCCAGCTCTGACGGTTATCCCTGTGTGATCCTTGGTAAGTTACACAACCTCTCTGGGCTTTTAGGATCCTTTTCTATTAAGTGGGGGTGACAGTAGTACCTATCTCAGAGGGTTAACATTTTCGCAGTACTCAGAACAGTGTGCCTGGTACACAGTAAACACAATGTAGTGTTTGTCATTAATATTATTTATCAATCGCATGAAAGCAGGTGTCACTCCAAACAATGTGATCAGTTGTGGACGAGGTCTTTGACTCATTCTTCAAACCTTCCTGGTCCTTCTCTATTAGAGCTTTTTGTACTTTATTAAGTATTAGGGAGGGGCAGAGGGGGCATCCCTCCCTCCCTCTCTCTCTCTCTCTTTCTCTTTCTCTCTCTGTCTCGCTCTTTCACTCACACACACACACACACACACACACACACAGACACACACACACTCGAAAGCACTTTGAGTACAGACATAACGCATCCAGGGCGGTGCCTCGCACATCGCAGGTACTTAAGGTAATGTGTCATGAAGAAATGCACGTGTGAAAATTTTCCACTGCTTGCAAGTCACACCCTCATAAGTTCCTTTATTTTCACTTCTTTAGTCTCCTTAAGGGTTAGGAAGACAAAGGCATGGCTCATGGTGGTTAAAGATAGTTCTTTTTACCAAAATAAAAGGAAGAAATTTGCCCAAGTAACCAAGTGTTCTCTAGAATGTTAGAAACTAACTGTGGCGCCAGCTAACAGGAGACTGCCGGCTGCGTCTGCGTGTGTTCTTCCTACCACAGTCTTGCAGTACATGCTGCTCATTCTGTAGCTGGAAGTCTGGCTGCCTTTTTATTTTTCGTTGGCTAAAAGATCTTTTGCCAAAATGGAGGGTGTGAAGAAAAGGGCCCTTGGCAGAGACAGCTATGCAGAGTCGGGCGTAATTAAGTTCAGTTGGGCCGTGTGTCAAGAGGGGGACATGAAAGGGACCTCAGAACGGTGGCCCTACGAGGCCGTGCGGGTGGCTGTCCTATCAGCGCCTGCTGGCTGCTGCTCCCCCATCTGCAGCCTCCCTGCAGATGAGACGTGGGTGGGGGCCTGTTTATCAGACAGAACCTGCACTCAGCAGCCTTTCTGGCCAGGGGTGGCAGAGCTAGTCAAAGGCTGCGAGGGAAGGGGAGGCCACGTGTCCCGGCCAGTGAGAAGGAGGCTGGTGACAGTCTTGCTTCCTCCCCCCAAGGGCCTGGAAGTTCTGGGCAGGTGTCTTCCTTGAGGAATGGTCACTCTTGCAGGACCGGAAGGGAAACCTGCTAAATGTCACGGAGGCTTGTGGCCTGGTGGTGACCAGCCCCGTCACTCGTCCTAACTGCCAGTCAGCACGTCACTCCCCTCTGAACCTCAGTCTCCCATCTGTCAAAATGGGAGTGACAGTGGTTCTTGAGTCACAGGGTCTCAAGAGCTTTTATGAAATGGCACCTTTAAAGTGTAAGCCCAGCTCCTGGCTCAGTAGAAGGGACCTATCGTGAGGACACTGACAGTTTTCAAGTCTTTCGAAAAATGCTGCCTCTGAAAATACATGCAAAAAGCGGTCCAGCCGCAGAGTCGATAACTAGAGTAACTTAGAGCCAGAGGCTCACCTGCCGGGACAAACTCTGAGGACTGTCATTACAGAAATCTCAAGGTGCTCTCTTATTGAAAAGGGTTTTTTCCTCTAATCTGAGTGTCGTTGGCTATTTTTGTTTCTCCCAAACATTCCAGGCATGGTAGGTGCTCAGTGAATGTTAACAGACGCCACATGGATGAGTATCTCTGTGCTTCTGGTCAGTGTGTTGTCTGAGAGTCAGCCCTCCCTTTGTCAGTGTCAGATCTCAGGTGTCAACCTTGATTCCGGAAATAAATATCCCATAGCTCTTGTTCCGTTTTATTTTGCACCCACTGTCCTTTCTCTGTGGCATCTAGCATGGTTGTTGTGTGCTCAGACTGTGGACTCGGATGGGCTCTCGGTGCCTTTGGCCCATTACTTGACCTCTCCAAGCCTGGCTTGCTCCCCCGTAAAGTGAGGCAGACAACAGGATCAACCTCAGAGGCTGCCAAGAGGATGAAAGGAGACGGCAGATGGAGAGAAAGCACCAGGACAGCCTGGCTCAGAAAGGGCTCGATAAAGTGTCATTGTTGTCCCCAAGTACGTGAGCCCTAGTGTTTTAGTTACTATTATTGATGTTACAGATGCCCACAAACAGGTGGCTTAAAACAATACACATTATCTTACAGTTCTGGAGGTCAGAAGTCCAAAATGTGTCTTAATGCACTAAATAAAGCCCAGGTGTCAGCGGGGCTGGTTCTGTCTGGAGGCCGGCTCCTGGGGAGGATCCACTTCCCGCCTCTTCCAGCTTCCAGAGGCCACCTGCATTCCCTGGCTCATGGCCGCGCCTCGGAAGCCAGTAGCACAGCCTCTTCCAATCTCAGACTCTGCTTCTGTGATCACATCTCCCTCTCCTGCCTCCCTCTTTTCACTGCCGAGGAACCTGGTGATTACAGTGGTCCCACCCAGATGATCCAGGAGGCTTTCCCCGTCTGAGGATGCTTTACTTAATCACATCTGCAAAGTCTCTTTGCCACGTAAGGTAACATATCCACAGGTTCTGCAGATTAGGACATCTTCGGGGCCGTCATTGTGTCGGCCATCCCTAGTGCCAAGCCCTTCGTTACACGTAGTGACTAAATTGGCGTTGGCCTCAGCTGCCTGAGCGAGAAAGCAGTAACTGATCTCATCAGATAGGAAAGAGAGTCAAACACTGGGTGAGGGTCGCAGCCGCGCTGCCCACTGACGCCCTGCTTCTGCCCTAGGGTGTCTCTCCCCTCTGGTTTGTGCACAGGACCCCAGCAGAGTCACTGAGACAATGGGCGTCGGCGTCAGCAGCACAGACGAGAAAAAGCAAAGCAAGTCGCAGCAGCTGAAAAAGGTCTTTCAAGAATATGGTGCCGTTGCCGTGTCACTGCACATTGGGATCTCGTTAATCTCCTTGGGCACGTTTTACATGGTTGTTTCCAGGTGAGATTTTTGACAGCATTTGTTTTGATGTGATTAAGAACTTGTTTTATAAGACTGCTATTCATTCAGCTTCTATTACATTTTTTAAAAATCCTGTAAACCTTACAGCCAGATCAATTGCTTCATTTAAGCCCTTACTATGATAATTATTTTCTTCGTCTCCTTCCCCCCTAGTGGCGTGGACTTGTCTGCAGTCCTGCTTAAACTTGGATTTAAAGAGTCGCTGGTACAATCAAAAGTGGCAGCAGGCACAAGTACCTTCGTGGTGGCCTACGCGATCCACAAGCTGTTTGCGCCTGTGAGAATCAGCATTACCTTAGTCTCTGTGCCCTTGATTGTCAGATATTTTCGAAAAGTGGGATTCTTTAAACCTCCAGTTGCAAAACCTTGATGAACTCTTCAGTTGTAGGCCCTAAAACCTGTTCCTTTTAAATTACACAATTTTTACCCATTTTGGCTTTAGGGTTGTAAGGTTTCTTCAGAGGGGTGAGGGGAAGCAGGGAGCTAATTGCTGTGTTCTCATAGATAAATTTTACCTTTACCAGCAAAAATCAGGCATTTGAATCATTATAAATTTTTCTGCTTCGTAAATTTTGTTAATGCTATTCATCATAGGGCTTGTATACATAATCTAAAATGTCAGCAAGACATCACAAATGAGTTAACATCTCAAAACAAAACAGACTACAGGATGTTCCCTCTGGAAGATCTTTGGTGAGGATCTGTCTGCAAAAGCTCCAGGGGGTTAATCTTTGCTCAAGTTCTTAAAAATGATTAATTTAGCTGGCCTTTTAAATTCCTCTTCCTCTGTTATTTGTCAGCTGCTCACCGTTTAATATGCAATATTCTGCAAAGCAGCTGCCAGTGCAACAATGAAGCAAAACCTAACAATGTATAATCACAATCTGAATTAGCATCATCACTTTGACATTCATTACCCTTGTTTCAGGGAAAGAAAAACAAGTATTTCTGGTGTGTTTCATCGATCCCGAAACACTTTCCAGTCTGGACATGATGGGGCCTATCTCAGGTGGTTTTTTGAAATTTCATTAAAGTAGGTCAGGGACATTTGTCTGTGCTTAGGTAAAATGTGGAAACCTTGCCCACAGCAGTGGCATCACTTGGCTGCTGAAGCCCATATTCACAGAGGAATTTGCCATGCATAGAAAGCCAAGACGATCTTTGCTTCTCTTAGACGATCTTTGCTTCTCTTAGACAATCTTTGCTTAACTCTGTGTCTCAAACTCCAGACATTCCACAACTGTCACAACGTTTACATTGTCTCTACTTATATTGAGTTAAAATTATGTACATGAAAAGGAAAATTAGTAGCACTTGTCATGTGTCCCACCCCCGGTGGGCCCAGCATCATGCAGGACTTCCCTCTGGGCCCTGCTCTGATGCAGGCCTCGCGGCACTCTGGGAATCTGAGCTAGCCAGTCTGCCCAGCTGGGTGGTTGAGTTGCATTTATCGGTAAATGCATCTGGCTCCCAGTTCCTTGGTTTAAAGTTACATTTGTGACAGCTGGAAAACTAAAGTGACTATTAACTGACCATACCGGCTTTTACTGACATCTGGCCATTGACAGTTCCCTAGTTAAGCCCAGTTACCCACGTCAGTCATCTCAAAGAATCTTTGTGGGACAATTTCTCCACTTGCAAGATCTTTAACGTAGAATTGTATTTTTCCTTTTAAAACAGCCCATTGCCAAAAGATGTTACTATCTTTATAGGACCTAATTCCAAGGACTTCCCCATAGCTGAGATGCCCCGTACCTGTGGTTAAGTAATTCCTCGTGTGGACTGGACAGAGCATTTTTACCTCATCTTTCATTTAAAATGATTCGTTGGCTTCAGCTCCTTCCTCAGCCACCTTCTGTACCAGTCTCCCACTCAGACCCCCAGTGATGCCTATGCAAAAATGCTGAGAGTGCCTCCTACAGGTATAAGGGCTTAAAACTTTGTGCTAAGAGTAACGGGAGTGGGCTAAAAGGACAAGCAATAAAACTAGTATACCAAACAGCCATTCTACTATCTAAGCCCCAAACCCACTCCACTTCTGTGGCCAGTGGTCAAAACAGAAAAGAGCTGGAGGAGATAAGGAGGCCAAAGGATCAGGGAACTAAAGCATTATGGGAATTCACCAGCAGGATGTACAGATTGCTTGTTTACATTATTTTTATGTAACTAGGCAAATAAAACTGATTTTTGAAATGCAAGCCGTTCCTCTTTTTTATCTGACAAAGTGAGCAACTTAAATTCTATGAAACTCTTTGAAGTTTATGAACTTTTTATTCCATTTTTGGTAAGCCATGATCGTTGCTGATTTTGAAGGAGCACTGTGTGACCGGTGGGCTGAGGTGCTACTACAATGAGCTTTTTCTTCGCTCGAGTGGGATTCTGTCTGGGGAAACATCCCAAGTCTAGCTGGTATCACCTAGCTGGTGAAGTTAGTCTCATCGTATTACCCATAGCTTGGGTGGATGGGACATGAAATTATTACTTTGGGAATGTAAAAAGTTGATTCAGCCCAAGACTGGGGGAACCAAAAGCTCCTTTGTCCCAAAGGGCCTAACTGACCACATCAGTTTCACTGTCATGTTTAAGTGTCTGTCCTTTGTCACTTAGACATGGAAGTTTATATTGGCCACTTTATTGACGTATCTGATACCTAGCTTCTCGCATGAACGCATACTTCTCTGCTAGTTCTAAGTTCAACCCTCCACCTTTCCTTCATCACTGTCAGGTTCACCGTATCTTTGGCGGCTATAAACATACATAACTTTACCTACTAGGAGTATACCCAACACAAGGGACCCGAGAGGGCCAGACCTGCTCCTCTCACGGCACCTGCTCACTTTCAGGGCAACAGTGAATAGCTGACAGAAGGAATTATCTACATACTGCAAGTAGACATATATATTTATTTATTTGCATATTTAAAGTTTACACACATGCCATAAACGCCAATATAATTAAAAAACCAAGCCCTTAATGACTCTGAGACATGGTTTCTTCCATATGCCAAGCCAAGTCCCAAAGAGGAGGTAGAGCACGTGTTCCCATTTTATAGAGTCTCATGGTATATAAGTGGTTAAGGAGAACCTGAAACCCACCAGGCCTAAGGGGTGCTGGACTGACACCGAGACCATTCCCAAGGGAATGCCATGGGAGAAGAAACACAAGTCTATACAAAAACCTTTAACATTTAAAAGAATCACGTTAATTCCGACAGCTTTACTTAGGCTTGGCCACCCAATAAATTACACACTCACTCAGGTACTCGGAAGGTTATTGCACAGCTCCTTAACTGATCGAGTCAGGGCAAAATGGTCACTTACCCCACAACCAGACTCAGCTTGCTCCTGCAAGGACACCAAGCCTGGCACAGGCTGTGGGGTGGCTGCAGTTGAACCTGGCCTCCAGATTATGAACCAGTAAAGCAGCAGGATTCTCATGGCTACTTTCACTTCAGAGTGTCATGTTTATTGACGTGGTACTTTCTGAATCGGGAGGCTGAGCCACTGCCTGCTCAGTAAGATAAATAACATTTCCTGCAGTGCTCTAGATTGAAGGAGGCAGTCAATAGTAAAAATGAATTTCAGTAGCATGTTCCTGACAGATTACACAGCAGCCCTGGCTCAAGGATTTCTCCCCCTGCATGATTCCTAAGACTATTTGCTAGTTGATTCTTTGTTTTGGCAATTTGATGGTTTTGATGAATTTGCTGTAATCCAGGGGTGTTCAAGCACTTCTCTGAGAGCTGGCCTCTGCCTTGGATTATGCTTCAACAGTCTGGAAATGAGGTCCCTAGCTCCCTCTGTTACAAAGTCAGGAAATGTAAATTCAACCTGGAGTACAACAAATGATAAAATGCCACAAAACATGGGTTAGAGAAAGATCAAATAGCATAAATATTCAAATCTTAGCTAACGGAAGTGCTGGGTCTTTTCCAGTTATGTCTTACCCGTGATATTCTTCTATAGGTCTCCTGATATGTGTTTGTCTCAAAAGGAGGCTTCCCAACTAAAAATTCATAGCAAAGAACTCCAAGGCTCCAGAGATCCACCTTCTCATCATGCATCCGACCTTCGATCATCTCGGGGGGCAGATAGTCCAGGGTGCCACAGAGAGTGGTTCTCCTAAAAATAGGAGGCTCAGGTTGACATACTGCGGTTTCATTATCACAACAGCTGCTAAAAACACTAACGATTACACTAACATTTATTAAATGCTTCCCCCGGGCAGATCCTGTGCTATGAAGTAGGTACTATTATAAGTCCCCATAGGAAAAAGACTGAGGGAGGTGTTTAAGATCACATGGGCTAGCAACCAAGCTTAACCCCAAATCTGTCCAATTCTAGAACCTCCTTGAATGATCTAGAATATAAGAAGTTGACTTTATCACTACTGTATAAAAGCTGCCATGCACAGTTCCCCATAAATGTAATTTGGAGTTCCACATTTGTTTTTCTATAATATAGATATGCTAAGAAGCTTGAGAACCAGGTAGCATTGATAACAAGAAACTAGAATATTGTCCCACTGTGAAAGATCACTGGTACACAAGATACACTGAATTTTTGAGGGTAACCTATGAAACGATATTCTTGGCA